TCCCCAGGGAGCCGCTGGCAGGCCCGGGGTGGCTGGAGACGCCAGGATGGAAGGTGGATCACCCCACTCTCCACCGGGCAGTGAGGAGCGGGAGGGTCAGGCACACCCCAAGCGTAACTACTTTCGAAGTCTCCCAGGGCGCCTTGGTTGCCCTGAAGAAGGGGACGAAGACCCTTTCATCTTCGTCCCCTTCCTCAGGGCTGCGTCCTCAGTGTCCAGCACCAAGGCCTGGCCCACAAAAGGCGCCAGGTGAGTATTTGATGAATCGACAGACAGCGACTGCGCCCGTCCTCGGAGCCGCACCCCTCCCACCTGGGCCCCCCAAGGGGAAGGCCCAGGCCTCCCCGCCCGAGCTGCTGCGTCCCCCCCGCCTGGAGCGCCCTGCACCGGGGCTGCCTCCTCAACCGGGCCCTGTCCGCGGTCACCCCCGGGTGGTCTGGCTGCCCCCTGCTCCAGCGCGTCCGCCCCGTCTGCTTCTGGGACACGTGCCCAGGGTGTAATTACCTACGTTTTCCTCCTGCCCTGGACTCCCGGGCGGTCGTGTTCCCACAGGGGTCGTCGGGGGCGGACCCTGGAGCGCCTGGACCGGGGGCGTCAGGGTGGGCGCGGGGGCCTCTTCACTCGAAGCGTCGAGGGCCTCTGGGGGTTCCAGTGCCCGTCTCATGCCTCCGTCCTGGCGTGGGGGCTGCGCCCAGCGCCGCGCCGGAGACGCCCGCGGGTTCTGCGGACCCCCAGGGTTCAAGAGATGTGTGACCTGAGGCAAACCGTGTCGCCTCTGAGCTTCCGTTTGCTCCCAAGTGGAGATCGGGGCTCCCACCGCCCTGGTCTTGCAGCGGGCAAGCGCGGATGCTGCAGGTCGGGCTCGCCGCGGGCGGCCCCGCGCGAACAAAGGCGCGGAGGGAGGGAGCCGGCGGGCGGCGGGCGAGCGGGGACCCCAGGCCGCGCCGGCAGGACAGTCGGGGCTCTGGGTGCGGCGAGGCAGGGGGGTCCCGGCTGACGCAGAGCCCTGCGGCCAGGAAGGCTTCCTGGAGGCGGCGTCCCGGAGCACGGCCGCCGGCCCGCCGGGTCCTGGGCACGGGACGCGGCGCCGCGTGGCTCCTTTAAGAGCCGGTCCGGGGCAAGGGCGCGGGGCCAGGGCGCAGGGCGGCGGCGAGACCCGCCCCCCGCCCCCCGCAGCCGCCGCCTCTAATCTCCACCCGCAGCTCCGGCTCCGCTGACGTCACCTGCCCCCGAGCCGCGCGCGCTGATTGGCTGCAGGTGACGTCAGGGCCTTTTTTCGCCCGGCATGACCTCATCCCCGCCGGCGGCCCCGCCCTCCGCCCCGGGCCTGTCACTCGCGGCCGAGCGCGGTGGCCGAGCCGGCTCCGCCGCCCCCGCCCCGCCGGACGCCTGGACGCCGAGCCCGAGCCCATCCGCGCCGGAGCCGCCCGGCCGCGCCCGCCGAGCCGCGGGGCTGGGATGCGCGCCGCGAGCGCGCGTGCCCGCCCGCAGTG